AGCTCTGAAAAACTTAAAATATTTAAAAAATAAGCTTACAACAAATAATTGGAGTTCATTATATTCAAAAACATTCACATATTATTTCTGACAAGCTTGAGAAAGATTTTCTGCTCTTTGAGTTTCATGCAATTCTTATGCAAAGCAAGAAAGCAGGAACCTTAAGTTCAATCCAAAAGATCTACATTCTGTCAAATAAATCTCTGATTAACAGAGGATATTGTTTTCAGATGTAAAATGGAGTAATATGACTCCCATCGACACTACCAACAAAAGTCTTTCCTCCTTAGAAATCTAGACTAAAAGATTGAAACCAGACAAACAGCATTTTTTCCTAATTATTATAATTGTTATAAAATACAACCTTTACTGTCCAATACTTAAGAATATGAAAAACTCCACCATCCAAGCAAACGCTCCCACTGTCTGCAGCATGCAGCAGTCCAAGATACATGATATTAGATGCGTAACTACAGTGTATCTCACTCATTTCCCCAGTGGGAACAGCATACGGGGTAGAGGCAGAGCACATGGGAACTCTGGATCGAAGGCTCAATCTTCTGTATAACATTTCCTGCTGCTTCAGATATGGATATTACACATCCTTTTGGTCCCATAAGATGACATAAACCAGACCAGTGGAAGGGGAAGCTGGATCAATTACAAGGCTTGAAATTCTTCAAAAATAATAACCAGTCTTCTTGTGCTTCAGGCAGTGAAAGATATAAATATTACTTTATATACAGACCACCATACATCATATATGAATACCAAAATTATTAGATTCTGTTAAATGGGCTAGAAGCCAATAGCTTTAGCACTTCTTTCAAAATCTTGCCTACATACACATCCTTATCTTCATGAATTGATCTATAAATGCAAGTATGCATTTTAACTGCTCTTTGACAAGCTCTGCATGGATTTACAAATATTTTAAGACAGTGATTGACTATTAGGACTAAAAATGCCTTGATGCTATGTGCTTCCCTTTACACCATTTAGAGATTTTTGTATACATGGAAGGAGGTTTCTAGAGAAGTGACAGTGAATGCTGTAAGCAAAGCTGACAATGAAAGCCTTCAAAACCTGGATAGAAAGTGGCAAGTATGGAATCCCAAAATGCATGAAGGTCTTTACAGACCCTGGATTCAGGTAAGGAATGATAAATGGTCAACTGTTCCTCTGTTTTCCTTTGAAAGAAGGAAAAGACAAGAAAGCTTTAAGCAGTGGCCATCACAAATTCAAAACACTCAAACTTGCTGAAGTAACAGAGATAGGAGACAGCATCCCTCTCATTAAGGCAGGAAGAAAAGGCTTTCTGCAGAAACCAGCACTCCAGTACTATTCCAAAACTGTGAATCTATAAGAAAGGGAGGAGGAGAAAAGTTCTTATGTCTCAGTTAAAGAGCCTATTTCTTCCTGTTTCTGACCAGTGATGAACAAAAAGTGTATTTCATTACATAGGCCACTGCAACTGAAAGCCAAGGTATGATCTTCATTAAAATCCCAGAAACAAGAGCATACAAACATGTAGCATAAGAAAGCTGAGATAAGCAAATGACAATTGTGTAGATCCACAAAGAACATCAACATAAAACCCAAACCAACCAACCAACAGAAAAAAAACACTACAAACCAGCAGGGACTTACAATGCTGGTGTTTGTCTGCCTCTGGCACAACCTCATCCTGCAGCAACTCCTCCAGTCCTTCTGAATTTGCAAGTGACACACTTCTATTAGACAAGCAGCCATCACCATCCAGCCACTTACATAACAAGGAATGTGAAGGTACATAAAATATAACACATTCTGAGAATGTAAGACATTAAGAGAGTTCCTGCTCCTGAAAAGACAGACTTTTTAAAAAAATCTTCCCAATAAATCAGTTTTCCAATGCATTCCTTTGGGAATTCAGTGGCAGCAACATGAAATGCAAGATCAGCAAGTTATTAAAACACTGATGTAGTAATTCAGAACTGAGCAACTAATGAGCTGCAAAGTTCACTTCTAAAAAGCAGGACACCCGTATGTTAAACACATTCACAGTATTTTCTCTGTTCACTATAAATATTAATTTGGAGCTGGAAGGTGAGCGATACAAAATAAAATCCTACTTTGATGGGTTCTGATGACATTTAAGGATCACATTTCTTTGGAACAAAATGTAGGAACTATGGAGCCAACCCTCCCAAACTTGTTATTAAATGTATTTCAGTGTCATAATGAATGCCAAATTAGGTCACTGGCAAATGAAAGCAGACAGATGACTTTCAGTTTGTCAAACAAACCAAGCTCCAAACCACTTTGCAAAATTAATCCCAAATTTCCATAAATTATGGCTATTTAAAAACAAATAGGCTAAAATATAGGCAAGCATTGCTCATTTACATACGTCACACTGATAGTGAAACTCCTTCAAAGAAAACAAACTCCAATTCTTTACTACAGTGAACAATATGAAAAGTTTCATTACAAGGGCACCATTTGTGGAAGTGCCAACAAGCAGAAGAAACCAGCTGCATACTAGCTAGGTTTCTTCAGCCCACAGGCTTGCCATTTATTTCTGTGCTCTAAATCTCAAAGGATTGGACGCAGCACAACAACCTGCCCTACATAGAAGAAAGCAGGCAGCATCACTGCTGAAGGGAACAGTGCTTCCAGAGTAGATTCTGCAGTGGCAGGAAGAAAACTACCAGAGATGCAGTGGATGACTCGACCAAATGCCCACCTCTCTTCTCCTGTGCTTTACAGTGCTTTGTACTTAGAAAAGATATGCATATTGAATCTGACCAATAATTTATTTGAGGTTGCTTTGAAGAGGAGTCTAGACAAAAGGTGGAAGAAGATTCTAACAAAACTATAAATCTGCTGTTTCAGATAGTAAACATGGTTAATCATTTCTTTCAAGCACACTGGAAGCCAAAAACATTAATGTGCTTCTCCAAAAAGTACCACACTTTAGGGACAGGTGTACTGACAAACTTGTAAGACTTGGTATTTGCCCTGACTTACACAGAGGCTGTTGAGGAAAGAGCAGATAACTCAATATAACATCCTATGATGCATGTCCTACATAGAAATTAGAAGTTTAATCACCTATATAGTTAAGCCAATAATTCTGTTAATGTACTAGATGTCAATCTCAATAAATTGACCTAAGACCAAATATATGGCAGCACGGAAGTGTCAATAAGAAACAAATGAGCACATTAAAATATAAAATATATTGAGCTTGTCAGCATGGCTGCAGATAGTGAAGGAGCATAAGGAATGAAAATTGCTTATTTGAAGCACGTATTCTCCTCATTTGAGGAAGATAATTATTGACCTGTAATTGTCCTCAGGAGACGCATGGAGATAACATAACATCAGAACCCTCACACCTCTTGCTAAAAGCTACTAAGAAAACTGCAGGAGGTGCTACTGCTTTTCTTTTCTGATCTACTAATACCACTCTGAAGCTCTTCTAATTCTTAAGAAAAAAATCCTCCTCGTGTAACACCAAAAAGCCTGAATTTGTCAGCCTGTGAGTCACATACGCTCACTTCAAAAAGTTGACAGTAACATGCTGCAGCACAAGGGACAATTTAATGGAGGCTTTAAGAACATCAGATTCCTTCTGAATTTGATTACTAGAAACTACAATGAAGTTGATCTCCTGAAATAATTGTAAATGTCACATTCAATTGTTCCTCAATGTACTGTCAGGACTGATAACAGGCTCTGAGCAAGTCTGCTCGAACATGTTTTCCTAAAAGGGGGAGATCAGCCTGCAGAGGGATTCAGGTAACCCTTTTCTATTTCAAACAGGTGACAGTCTAGCCATTTTTTCAGGAGTTAGATGCAATTAGGATATTAGTGTCTACATACCTGTATCTCTGCAGCAATTTATTTGAATCAAAAATATCACAGTGATGTTCACTCAAAATAATATTTTTAAAAGCATTTGCGAAAAGAGAATGTTTCAATTTTCTACTCAAAATTCATGTTGATCTTTTAGAACTTCCTGACAATCAGAAAAGATGACTGTAATTTTCTTCTTCTTAGGCTTACTCTTCTTTAGATAGTGTGTAGTTTCAGTTTCTGGGTTTCACACTCTTTTGGAAGGGGAATGATCTTAAGTTCCAGAATCTCCACAAGATACAGACTCCTGGTATTCTACTCTTTAAAACCTCAAGGTCTTCCCACGCTCAATACGATTTTAGCTTAAAGAATATATAAGAAAAAATAAACAAGAAACCCTTTGCATGCTATTGCATCACTCTCTCTCAGACATTAATGCCTTTTAGTATATAGCCCATGAAAACACATGGTCTATGCTTCCTTATTTGAGACAATTCTCAAATTCGGATTGTTTCAATTGCTTGAATGATTTATCTCTGCTAATATCCACCAGAACAAGGAGAAAGGAAGCAAAACATTAATAATTAAAAGCTAGATGTGAAAACCAAGAACTGTAATTCTACAAACACTCACTCCAATGAACTAAAGTGTTGTCAGGCACAGCTCCTCATATCCTGAATGCTCAAAGTCTCAGAGGTGGTCAGAAAGATCAATTTTCCATTTTGCAGAAACCTGGAAACCACTATCACAAAAGGGTATCTGTGGAACAACGCACTCCTTTTAAACGAGTTGTCAGGATGACGTGGTACGATTGCAAGTATTTTGCAATGAACAAAGCAGCAACCTCCAGGGAATGACTCCAGCTGGCAGCAAAGGGAATTAATGGCTAGAGGCAGCACATTTAGTCGTGGTTTCACTGTAGCAACAGCATGCAACAATCCATCCTGGCTCTAGCAGCCTTGGAGCTTCAAACTGCCAAAGGGCTTGCCATTTTTACTAAGAAGCAGACTGGTTTTGTGTAAGCTTCTCTTCCCCTCTCCTCCCAAAAAAGGCAAAAGAAACTCAAAAAAAACCCAAAACAAAACAACACAACAAACCCACAAAATTACTTTCAAGGCTCCACTCTTTCCTGCAAAATAGATTTTACCAAAACTTACCTCTGGGTACTTCAATTTTAAAGTTCTATGCATTTCCCGAAAACGACTGTATCGCCTGAATACTGTCCATGTCTCATCCAAGACTGTTATCTGTATCAGATGATATAAAAAGAAAAAACAGAAGTAAAACCACATAGCACACCACATTAAGAACTATGCAGTATAGAGAGTTATCAGATTAATATGGATAGCAGTCATTTCCTTAAATTCTACAATTTATGGTTTACTTAACTTTTCTGTTATTGCACAAGTTTTTTGGATTTTTTGTTTGTTTTTAAATAAGGATCATTGATTGTAAATGAAAAAACTGAACACGTGTATTCCATATTCCAGAGTAGACTGACAAGCCTGTAAACACCTTAAAATATCCCAATCACTTGTCAGTGCAGCTATGCAGCTCACAGCATTACAATTAGTGGGTGTTCCACTAATGAACAGCACCCAGCACAAGTGTTATGTAGCCTCTCTGTATGTTGATGTAAGTGCATCTGTACTCACATAAAATTATGCATACATGCATACAGAAATACTCATAAAAATATTAAACATACTTTTCCTGTAAACAGTTTGTTATCGTATAGAATGTGGTTCCAATTTGTACAGTAAAAAGCAACATATATTGCCTTTCAGTGGAAGATATTCCTTTAAAGCTCTCTAGGCCTGTGTCATCAGTATGTTGATGAGCATCCCATTTATACAGGAAGTTTCATTAAAATCAACAGAAGTGCTCCTGTGGAAAAAAAACCAGATAGCAAAGGGAGCCAAGAGGAGGGCAATTCAGCTATCTAACTTTGCCATCAGTTATACTCCAAACCCTCATTGGAACTGAGAAACTGGCATAAAAATTTCAGTGAACGAAAAATTTTTCACCACCTAAAATTAGGTGAAATGAAAGAACTTTCTAAGTGGGTCATAAAAGTGATATGAAGGGCCTTTGATTTCACAGCAAAGCCCTTCTATTGCTCTGATGATCTAATGCTATCGAGTGATGCTGCGGCGAGAGGAGGGCGTTTTGCTATGCTAACTAGCACAGCTGAAGAAAACCAACTAGCAATACCTAAACAGGAAAGCTTGCTGCTTTTTTTTTTTATCCAGTGGGCCTAATATATGATATAACTTCTGTCCAGCAACGAATTTGTACACAAAAAATCAACAATACGCATTTTGCAAAATGCGTTTTACAAAGATATGGGCTTGGGTTTCAATCCAAAAGTGACTCTTAAAATGCACAAGCAACACCCACATCACAAAGCATATATCACAGGGTGATGGAAAATGGGAATGGAGAAGGATAACTGAGTAGGAGAAAAAGAAAATGGGACAATGAAGCCAGAAAAAGCCAGGATCCTGGTTTGACAAGAGCCAGCAGCGTGCTCCTGCAGCCTGGAAGGACAACTATACCATGAGCTGCATCAACAGAGGGATAGTGGGTAGCAGAAAGGTGAGAGATGTGATTGTTCCCAACTGCTTTGCCCTTGTGAGGCCCCATCTGCAGTACTGCATCCAAGCCTGGGGCCCCCAACACAAGAAGGATGCAGAGCTGTTGGAATGAATCCAGAGGAGGACCACGAAATGCTCAGAGGGCTGGAGCAGCTCTCCTGTGAAGAAAGGTTGAGGGATGTGGGATCCTTCAGCCTGCAGAAGAGAAGGCTCTGGGAAGATCTCACTGCAGCCATCCAGTAGTTGAAGGGAGATTATAAGCAGGAGGGGGAGTGACTTTTTACATGGTCTGATAGTGATAAGAGAAGAGGGAATGAATGTCTTTAATCTAAGAGAGGAGATTCAGGTTACACATTGAGAGATGTTTCACTCAGAGCGCAGTGAGGCCCTGGCACAGCTGCCCAGAGAGCTGTGGGTGCCACATCCATGGAGGAGCCCAAGCAAAGCAGCATTTCTAAGAGTTGCCAACTCAGCCTTTTACCAAAGCGATCTCTGAGCCATACTACCCCATCACATCTGCCTTTACAGGGGTAAACTAAAAACAGTGAAACTGGCAGAAGTGCTTTGGAAACCAAAAAACGTGCCACATGATATCAAGAATTAGGTTTTCTTCTATTGTTTGATTTTTAGTTTAAAGATTTAAGTAAACAAAACTGGACTTCTAAAATCTAACAGTGCTTTTCGCAACTATTTACTTTTCACAAATTGCAGCTGGACCATATGATCTGTGGAGGTGCCTTCCAACTGAACTATTCTGTTCTAAAACAAACATTTTTCTAGTGTATCTCCTCAATGCAAAATCATTATTTCTGATATAATTCATCTTTCCTGTCACCAACATGCTTGACTGCTGCTAGGATGTCTGCATGATGGACTGCATTTCCTTACAAATAAATTCAAACAGTTGCCCTCCCTCAATGCATTGTTAACAATATCTCAAGCCCTACAAAGGAGGTGAATGGATGCAACCTGCATGGGCAGGTTTAACAATAAACGAGGGATTCAGGAACATGCATGCTGCACCGACCTTAATTAACCCATTATCCATTTTGTTCTCAATAATCACCCTAAAGTAAAGCACTCTGTGACTTAAATGTTGTTTCTAGTTCATTTTTGCTTTAATTCTGTATTGTAATACTGCCAATTGAACTGTGGACTTTTACTGTGATAAATTTAATTTGCACATGATATTTATGCAAAAACGACCTCTTTTTCTCCCCAGAGCTTTCACACTGGCAATGCCTTTCGGGGAGCAATCTAGCCTGAAGCATCCAGGACTCTCCCAGCTACACAGCCTGGGGAAGAGCAGGTATGTCAGCTTGCCAACGGTGCTGTTGTCTGAGCATCTGGCAGCAGTCTAAGTGACAGGGCAGTGCTGAACATACCCAACTGCCTGCAGCCAATTTTATTAAACTTCTTAAAAGGATCTAACGAATACAACTGTTTTAACCACTTCAGGAATACTTGATAGAACTACATTGGAAGGCAAAGCCACAGATCTGTGCTGCTGAGTACCTGAAGCTTGCTATCTACTGTGTTCTCTGGTGGCATAATTTGACTCGTTCCCTGTCATTCTCTTTGTTTACTTCCCTAATTCATCTATGAGACTAGTGAGTAAATGCACTCCAATATCTTATTATTGTTAATGAGCCTTTTTTCCTCAGTTGAGGTGATGTGCCATCAGTCACTCTCTTTCCGTACTGCTGATATTATTGGAAAATAACTTTCAAAGCTAAACAACACCTTAACCACTCCCCAAAGCTCAACAACAATGTTGTTATGAAGGCAGATGGGACCAAACTCCACTCGTATAAGCAGAAGAATAACAGTACATTTGACATAGCAATGATGTTTCTGGAACATGGCCTTGTACTCCTACAGCTGATACAGCCAGTTTGGTCTGGGATTCTTTCTTCCATCCTTCAGTAAAGATTGTATGACAGATTATATAGAATGAAAGTATGGGACTAGGATAAATAAAAATCTATTGAACTGTAACAAGTAAAGCAAATTCAAATAGCCCTTTACTTTTTACTTGTAATTTACTACTAGTAATAAATGTATATAAATACATACATATGGTTGAGTAAATCTATAAGACATTTTCAAGACACTCTTATCTGGGCATTTATGTGACCTTAGCCTTGACTTATAGTTGTGTTACTTTTTTCACTCAAGTGAAAGTGCAGTATTTCCTACATAAAACCCAGACATTTGGAAGGAGATTGTGCAGTCCTGTTTCCTTAACTTTTACTCTGCACAATGGCAGACAGTCACTTAACCAACATTTTCAATCAATTTCAATTTAAGGTACTCAAAGGATTTGTTCTGCCATCCACTCCCATACAAATAAGTAAACCCACAAAAACAGGTGTATATTACACCTGCTTCTGAATCCGTCAGAAAAAAAAGAAATCCCACCTTACATGTCTGAGCTGAAACAGACACTGTGAAAATGGACTCTGTTGAAACTCCTTCCACCAATGAATACAGCCTATGAAAATCTAGAACCTGCAGGACACTAAGGGATTTATCTTGGCCTTTTTATGGATTTTTTAAATTTATCTTTAAGGTTATTAGTACTGTTGAGGACTGTTTTTTTAACTGTGTTCCCCATGGGGCATGCAATGTTTCATGTATTAATGAGCACTGCTTGATGAGCACTGTGTTTGCTTTACTCCAATTCTGCATTAACTCACAGAGCACAGGAGAAAACGCTGATGAAACTCATCAATGTTTTTAACAAATCCACCACAGCTCTTGGTGAATGCAACCTCATGACTAGACCTAAAAGAAAAAAAAAAAAAACCAAAAAAACCCAACCCGCTGCTTTGGGATGCATCTGCCTTGATCTTCTATAGAGAACTCATCAAAGATGACTGGAAGGCTTTGAAACACAAGAAAAAGCCAGTTTTGATAAAACATCTAAGAGGATGAATAAAATGAAAGAAGTCATAACAACTCCAGAAAGCTGAACAAAAATGAGAAGGCATGTATGTGTACATTTATATATGTATATATATATTTACATATAGACACACACACCTTTCTCTCTTGTCAAAGAATTCCTGGCAGGGCTATGCTCAACTTCTGGTTTAGCTTCCCATCACCTGCTCTTGGGAGAGCCACTCATGTCTTTGAACTGGAGGTTCCCCCTTCCCTGCAACCTCACTGCTCCTTCTGCTTCCCACAGATGCTGTCTAGTAATTTCAGGTACTCTCTGTAACAAATGCCAACAATGCAAAAACCTTACAATGCAAAAAGTCTTCCCACATGCTGTTTCTACTGTGGCTTTGTCTGAATATTCTGTGTATTATAGCAACACAAAAGGAAGCAGAGAACACACGATAATCTTCAGGTATTCTAATTCAGCTCTAAGGTAACTGTGTTCAGACCTGATTAAGTTACTACTGCTTCATCGTGCCTTTAAAAGACTGCATATAAAACTGTCACCCAAAAGGAAATTTATTTGGAAAGTTACCTATTAGTATCAAATATTTAATAGCAGACCCACAGAAACAACTCCATGATTTCTCTTGCAGCAAAAGAAGAAGGTGCTAACTCTAAGAGAGTATGTTTTGGTTTCTATTTTGCATTCTCCCCAAAAGATCTCGTGGGCCTTGCTTGACATCAAAAAGTGTGACCTGTATTGAGTGACAGAAGGTGAGCAGGTCAGAACACCTTTCCAGAGATCACGTAAATCGAGATGGATGAGATACTGAACTTGCATTAGAAAAAAATATTTTTGGATGGTATACAAGGGTTGAAAGACATACAAACTAACACAATGCTGCCAAAAAGTGTGGAACTTGTTCTCTTTCTTTGGGCATAAAAACAAAGTAGTTTTTACTATTTCATTTTACAAGAAGAAATTGATACAGAATATTTGTCAGATTAGTTCCTCCACATAGCAATACGCAAGGATTTCACTGCAAACACAATCACTAGAATCATCTGTTGATGAAAAAACTTCTGAGATACTTAGGATTCAAAGGATTCAAAGATTTACAGTTCAACTCAATCACCATGACCGTGACAGATTTTTAAGTGCTGTTGCACACAAACAGGTCATCCACCCATTTTCCCAACAAGAAGAACAACCTTGGTGAAGAAAGCCCATCTGGGCAGCAGCAAAGGACATGAGACAAGCACAAGGGCCCCCTTCCAAGATCGATGTACCTTCTAATGCACCATCACCTGGAAATTAACTAAAGAAAAGTGGGGCCATAATAAAGAATTATTTCTACAACTGACATTGTATCCTCACCCATCAGGAAAGGGTAAAACATGTTCACATTCTCTCCTTCTTGCTTGTAGAAAGGCAATTGTACTTTCCTAGCTTTTAGGGGAAAAAAATAAATCACTATATCACATATTCTGATATCTTACAGAATATGAGTAGGAACAGCTGAAGGATACTAAAGATCGAAGCACAGATAGGAGCTCTGCAGGGAAACGATTTAAAACAGAAAAGTTTGTGGAAACTCTGCAGATCGTAGCTTGGAGCAAAAGCCTGACCATAGCAAAAGCAGTCCGGTGTGGCACAGAGATCTGTAGGCAAACAGGAAAAAAAAAAAAAAGTGTACACAGATGATTGATTTGTGTAAAGGAGTGACTAAGATATCTCACAGTGTGTCAAAGTAAGGTTCATATGAGTTATAATAAAAATATTTATTGCTCTAAGGAAGTTGGTAGCAATGGAATACAGTTATTAAAGTAATAGCCCATTCCCTACTCTGTACCATCATTTACTTGCTTTGAACTTCATCAAAGATATTTAAGCAGCAGTTTCTCTCAGAGGCAGCCTAGAGTTGGCACAGGAGAGAGAAAAATTATGGTACTGACAAGTACAACAGAAGAGAACAGCCACACCATATACAAAGCCAGAGGACTGCATCAGGTCATTCCATGCCACTGGAGAGGCCAGCCTGTGAGTCTTGCTTCTTGCAGAAACAAAATACAAGCAACAGAACTGCTGAAGCCTAATTTCACGTGTTCTTGTATTTTTTGTTTGGATATTATCCTGTTCTTTCCTCATTAAAAATCCCACCTCTTTCCTTCATATTTCTCTCCCCAAAATAACATCTCCTACTGCATCAAGTGGAAACCTTCCTCCACATACTCTTTAACTACCTCTTCATGCCAGGTCCCCCTATATGCTTCCATGGGCTTTAAGGGTGAAGAAAGAGTACTTGGAAAAGAAATCTACTGATTGTTACTAAAAGGACATAACACTTCTTACTTTATCTACCTTTACTAATCATTATCTAGTTTAGTAAATCCCATCTGCAGAAAACAGCTGGCAAGTAGAGCAGTCCTTGGGGAAGGTTCATGTGCACTTACTCCTTTCTCAGCATCTCTGATAGGTGCTGGGCTTTCACTGACCCCAGCAAATTCAATATTCAAATGGCAAAAAGGAGCATTCCATTCACAAACAGTGCAGTATGTTTCAAGATGACAATTTAATTAGCAATAAACAGAGCTAAGACTGACCGTCTCAGTGAAAGGCTCTGCAAAAGAGACCATGAACTTAGCTCAAAAACAGACCTGCACACTGTGAAGGCAGGTCACTCCTCCAGCTATCAGCACCTGATGAAGCATCTGGCAGTACATTCAGTGTAGGTGGCTGCCAACTGAGTCTCTGATGCCATGTACATCAGTTATGCTACATGTCCACATGCACTGAAAGCACATTTCCAATTAGATTTCACATCTTGCTTTGAAAAAACTGGCTTAGTACCAGAGGAAATATAATGAATATGCATTTTTTCCAGCACTTCTGCAGAGTATTGACTGGGAGAGACACTAGAATGGAGGGGAAATTGTTTGGAAGAGAGAGACCTTGTAAACGCAAGGTGGGAAGAAACAGAACGAAGAGCCAGAAATGAAACAAGCTTTTGTTGCAGAATACTTGAATTAGACTCCCATTAGGTAAATATTTCAAGTCTAAACATTTCTGTACTTTATACTTGCATCTTAGTAAGACCTGGAACTGTCTTTCCCAAGAGTCTGACAACCAATCATTTGGAAAATACTTGTCTTTATAGTGTCCTGTACAGCGCATGCTTCCCCAAGCCCCTTGTGTTTAACAGTACAGAGGCTACTTACACAGAAGGACAAGAACTGCACTCACTGCAACGACGACATACCACTGGGATTAGCAAGATGATTTCTGTAATTTGGAGCTTCTCAGGTGTGTTTACTATTGCTGTGTCCACTGTAACTAACTGTGATGTGGTTACAGTGAACACCTACGGTTAGACAGAGATAACTAGGAATAGATGTTTTTTTTAAAAAAAGGCATTTTCCTATTATTATCATTATTACTATGATGCTATTTTTATGCTTGTAAAACATCAAGGAGAAGCAAGTGAAAAGCACTTACCTTTATTTCAAACTCATAGTGTTCATCCTTTCCCTGTCCACACAGGACATAGCGTGGAATACTAATTTTAACTGGGTCCTTTAGGTCATCTGGATTTGCTCCCAAAGAACGACAGACCATCCGCTTTCATGTGCATACCAAATAGGGAGAACAAAGGAAAACCAAAATCACTAAGTAAGGAAAAAGAAAAAAAAAACCTTCACTAAAATTGAGAAAGTATTCTCAGCCAGAAGAGCTGAGAAAGAAAGAGTGGAAGTGGCAGAAATTAATTTGAATGTGAAGAAATTACTTGAAAACAAGGTGGATATGCTTTTATAACAAGTCCTAGCATTTCACTATGCATAAAAAACATAAGGTGAATTTACTGCAGAATACTGTTCTTTCTGTGAAAGGAAATTTTCAGCTTAGATATCAAAAATAAGGGAAAAGAGAAGACTTATTAACCCTGCTCGAAAAAATAAACATATATATGATGAGTTCATTTTTCATACGTATTTATGTAACAAATCTGTTTACAATATCATACAAAGCTGTAGGAGGTCCAGGTAATTCAGAAAACTCTTAAAGCTTGGATTTAAATCCTACTCATTTCACAGTCAAACAAGGTATAGGTAACATAGAAATCCACTGTCAAAAGAGTTTCCTATTCTTTTCTTAAAATTCTAACCCACAACAGAAATCTCAACAATGATAAGCATATAAGTTGTGGACAAAGCTATAAAATGTTATTTATAGTGAGAGCACACTGTGCTAACAGTCAGATGGAATTTATAATTGTAAAGTTATGTCAATAATAAAACAGCTCTGCAGCTGAAAAGATGGATGTTTTGTAGAGATCCTGTCCAAAAGGCAGCATAAGCATTAGTAGTGAATGAAAACAGAAACTGCTTTTTAGGTAGTCATCCACTGACTCAACTGAGAGCTTTTGCTCTGAAAATACACTTGAAGAAGCAACAACAAGTATAAGTCAAAAATAACAGAAAAATAAGTTGAGAAACTATCACTTCAAATTTATGGCCACCCGCATTTAGGGATGCTATCCATCACTTCATCTGTAGCTCTATTCTCAACATTTACTCTCAGTGCTTCAGTAGCCTTCATGAGGCATGCTGCATGACCAAAATCCTTCAGTCTTGACCAACACTACCCAAAAATCTGAATGTGGTTCACATTCCTGCCCAGACTGGAGAACCGGGTCCCTCTGTAACAACTCTGGTTGCATACTACGTACGATGAAACTACCAAAAGTGGCAGCTGCAGAAAAGTTTGAAATAGTCACAAATGACCTCCTGAAGGCTGTTACATCTAGCTTTTTCACATCCACATCTGGTTATAGAGAAGACAGGTTGTTATCTCATTATTTCATTAGTAGTCACTTATAAATGCCAATATCATTTTCCTTAATGCTAGCATTAATAGTAGCGGAAAAGAAAACACAAAGACTATGTTTGAATAGATTAAAAAAAATAATTATTATCTTTGTTTACCAAACAAAAATTTTCTCCCCTCCGTATTGCTCTTCTTTCACTTTCCTCCCAGTTAGCAGCTTTTCAACTACACATCAGCCTTCTGGAGTATAGAATTGTAAGTTCTATCCTCGGGGAGAAGAGGAGTTCACTGCCTTGATGACAGTACGATCCATTTTAAAACAATAAGAAAACCATAAAGTCACTCTTAAAGCCACCTCTGTCAAGACGTAATTTATTGGCAGTCATTTTTGGGAAATTATTACAAACAGCTAATAGCCAAAAGAATAATCTCAAACACAATGTTCTGTGAAGAACTTGCCCTAATACATTAAATAACTCTTTGATAGTGACGAACATCCATCATTATGCTTAATTTACAGTGGAATAAAAGATTCCATAGTGAAATCTTTTTTTTTTTTTTTTTTTTTTTTTTTCATAAATGTGAATTATATTCAGCAAGTTAGATTTGGAAACAAAGAAGAAAACCACATTATCTGGAACACAACATGTGCAAACAGCCTTAAACTGTGGAGTGTAATCTAAAAAGAAATTAGTTTCAGTAATTGCTGTCATTTAACAGCCTTGACTTAAGACAGTCCTCACAGAAAGCACCACTTAACATTAACTTTCAGCAAGACTAAAGAAATAACTTAATGATGTGAATAAGGGAGTTGCTCTCCAACGAGGCTGATATAACGTCACATTCCAGCACAACCACTCCATGCTCCATGCTCTGTGAAATATTTGCATATACTTTTTTGGTTAAAAACAAAAACTATACCTCAAAATAAACCAACACACTTTGCTCTTGACTTTGGAATTGCTTAGGGCAGTATAAAGTTGTGTTATGATAGGAGAATCATAACTTAATATCCAAATTACCCTTCATTCTTCCAGTCACAGCTTCCTCACCCAAAGTAAGTTACACCTTTTTAAATCTCAAGTGAATTACATTACCATGTCTTAATGTAAGGTAAGAGCCAATGGGAAACATTTGTACACTAGTAGAGAGACTGAAGTCTAACTGTCTGGTAGAAGATTGCACCTCTCCTGGCAATATGCTTACAGAATTTAGAATTTCAGATTAGATACCACCATTTTTCCTGCCAAGGACCATCTCCCACAAACAAGGCAGATGGCACATTCATACTCTGTTCCCGTTGCAGGGGAAGAAACAAAAGATGGCTTATTTTTAATTTTGGAAGATTGGACAGGAGTACAGGTAAAGAGAAACCTTTTACTAAGCTCAAGGCAAGACTTGACTATTGGAAAATGGAAATGCTTCACCTATTTTCAATAGCTCTGTTATTTTTTGGAACATGGTATTGAAGAGCCTGAAAACAATTTAATCCCACAGCATCATCAACCCCATTAATAAACAAACAGAAAACGAGGAAATTCAGGCCAGGCATCTGACACATTACATGAGACAATTCTAGGGTTAAATTTGCTTCATCCTTCAGGCAGTATCCACAGCTGCTAACTATCCATTTAACAGTATGAAAAACACGTACACAAATCATAAACCTTAAAGCTTCTGTCTTAACACAGTTGTAGTAGCATTACCAAAGGTCAAACTGCCGAAGCATAACATCTTTTCACACCCTGTAATCTCCTTCATTTTCACATCACATTTTCCATACGCACTTGTATCACTGGGAATACAAAGACTTGTGTGGGAGTTCAAGCTGACTGTTTGGACAAAATAGATAGGAGTGACTCAAAAAAGCCTTATGCTGTTTCCCTGCAAGAAGAAAGTAGGGTGGTAGGGTAGGGGGAATGAAATTGAAAAAGACAGTTGGATGCTCTCTGCATTTCTGTTGTTCTGTTTCATTGCTTCCATGTAGCCCACGCTCTCTTGGGCCTCAGCAAAGGGGGAAGACCCAGGAAAAAAGAGAGAAAGTAAATCCATCAATCCCTGGTACCTCATGCAGCATGTTTGACTTAAAATAAGTCGAACACAACTCCTTTTGCACTTGTGAGAAACTTTCATCCAAGAGGGTATTAATCCTTCATGCAAAACTCCAAGGCAGCCCAGATTTACCAATGTTATTCTCTCCAAAATTGTAACAATAAAAACCATCAACATGCTTAGTATTAACAGCATACAGTGAACTATATGTACTGACCTGCAGGCTTAAACACACTTTGCAGTTCAGACAAAGAATATTGCAAATATTTGGAAGCGCTGACATCAGCGGCACAAAATAGACAAGAAGCATCAAAACCAAAGATACTCAGACAGATTAAGAAAAAGGATTGTCAAGGAGGCGTGGAGAAAATACGTTAAGATGGATAGGAGATGGAGGAAGCCAAAAACAGCGCTCAAAAAGGAAATCAGAAAATACAGCTGCAATTATAGTTTTGATCCACCTACTACTTAAAATAGAACCAGTTAATTTCCTCCTCTTCCAAGGAAATTTATGTACAGCACAAAAGTAAGCTATCAAGTAGTAGTGATTTTTGGTAAGATGTGTTTACCCATCCTAAGGTATTCTCTTAAATGCCCGAAGGATTTTTTTTTCCTTTTTTCTTTTAAAATAAAATCAATAGACAAAAGAGTATTTTATCAATATTCATTAGCCTTCCTATTTTGAATGTATCTAAATGTATTTCGATTTCAACACCTAGTCAGATGCATAATTAGCCAAATGGCTTCTTCACTTGAACTGAATGTTAATTTCCAGATTTCCGATGGGATATGCAAACTGCTTTGAGGAATTGATGGGATGACTGTCATTTGAGTATTTATTTCTTTTCCACAGTATTTTGAAAAACCAATTCCTGAATCAGATCCAACCTTGCTCCTTCTAGAAAACACAAGCTCAATTTTTGTGAAATTCTCTTTGTCTGGCAAAACTACACATCGGATATCATTCAAACTGTACAACTGAAGGCTGTCAAATAGTGATCGCTTGCATGAAGCATCCAAAAAGCTAGGTGCAGGATAAAAGGCACTGTTTTCCCTTAAGAGACCGATATGAGTAGTAGTAAGAACCAGAGATCTATACACAGGCTGGTTAGCACAGTCTGTTTTCACGGTGGTATATAGCAGTACTTGAATGTCAGCTAATGAAGGTTTAATATCTCCCATATTTTCGTGGAGTAAGTAAACCAGATCAGCTAACACAGTTCTGAATTTACATGACAAACGTACTCCTTGTGAAAAGACTATGTCATTTACTTCTGACGTCCAGTCGAGCGAAATCCGCATCAAATCATCTTTCAAGAGCTGGTAATTTAAATAAGCAGCATCCTCCGTGGTAGAAATCAAAATGCTCAGTATGTCATGGCAAATTCTTTGAGCGTAGTGTCTGTTATAGGTAAATATTGTGAGTACATCATCTTCAGCAGAACACAGGAGACTCATACTCTGTCCAGCAAAGCCAACATGAATCTCCTGTATTGCGATGATTGGAACCTCATGAAATACTGCCAATGAACTCTGACCAATCTCTTGTTTGGCTGACGAAACAATAACATATAAAACAGAGCTGAACAGAAGTAAGCAAGCAGGTTCTGGATCGCATTTTTTGCAATTGCCAACAGCAAGCCAATATATGCCTTTCAACTCCTCCATACTAATGCAAATTTGAGGTAGGGCACAGGTTAAGAAGTCCAGCGTTTTTTCAAGAGAACAGACCTGAAGCTTCATAAAGACATCAGGAAAATGCAAAAAAGTCTGTCTTAACACAAGACTATTTTCCAACTCTTCATTCTTACAACAGCACACAAATCCTTCAGCTGGCTGTCTCACACAGGCATCTGAGATTCCTGTGTTTCCACACATCGTGACATCTTCTTTCACAGGGGTGTCAGGCAAAACAACATTTTCAGTATGAGTTTTGGTGTCATCAGTACAGTGGGATATGTTTTGATTCATACAGGACTTGGAGAATACATCTACTTCCAAGTTCCTTATAAGTGGCAAATGCTTTATTAATGACACCACCTGTGCACATCTCTCACTTTTGTCACACAAACTTCCCAACTTCTTAATTTGTTTAGGAACCACTGTACTGTTGAGCAATTGACTACTAGTATCTTTGTAAAAGCAGGAAAGCTTACTGAAAAGATATCCCAGACCATAGGCATGTTCTGGTCTGACATCAGAATGAGAAGCTGTTGATGTACAGGAGGTTAAATCGGAAGCTTTTTCAATTGGAAGCTGAGAACTACTTGACTGGTCTTCCATTGTCTGCTGCATGGTCTGAAATGATCTGCTTTCTTTAACAGTTATTTCAGAATATACGTTAGACTGAGGAAAGGCAAGGCACGATATGCTGTTAAAACCAGCCTGCTCATTAGCACACATTAAAGATCCTAAAGGAGACAGCTGTTCCAAGCGGGAACAATCACATTCAGTTCTTGAGCTGTCACAATCCTGAGAAGTAATTATTTTATCGTCAAAATGATTGAAATTTTCAAATTTGCAGAGTGAGTAAGCCACATTATTTAAGTCATGACTTTGTAAAGAAGTAGATAAAACATTCTGATAAGGAACATTCTTACTCTTTGAAGTACTAATATTTTCAGAGTGAGTTAAACTACTTTCAGTGTCATAAAGACTAACAAAGCTCTCCTGTTCTGCATTTCTCCTTCCATTCTCAAATGCCTTTTCTGATGTAAAGGGGGAGGAGATTCTTCCAGGCCTGGAAAATAAGTCCCACATCTCTGTATGTTCCTTCAGTCTTTTATGATCTGTTACTCCTGTGTTTTCTCCACACAGCTCAGAAGCACATTTGTCATCTTTAGAAATAAATGGAAAGTCACAATGTGGCTGCCACTGTTGACTTTTCTGTTAAAAATGTCAAAAGGAGAAAAAAACAGAAATGTCTTTAAAAAAAATCTTCTGATTTTAACATTTCTTAAATTCAGGTTTGATTTTGATTGGGTTTGTACAATCAACCAAAATTTGTAGAATCACTGTATAATCTGCCCAAATTAGAGAAGGAAAACCCAACAAAACTGATTGAGGTCTGATTCAGGAATGATTCACCTTCCCAGGCTGCCATTGCTTTTACTTTGTACAGTATCCATTTCACTTGGTTTATATTTGCTTTAAAAAAAATAAAAAAAAAAATACAGGAAAGTCAAAAGGGCAATGAAGAAATTTATATAACCTTCATTATTTTTCCATACATGTAAAAAAATACAATGCCATACCACCAAGATTGTGCAAAAGCAAGCACAAGATCATGTCAAAAGGTCCGAGACGGTTTAAAATAAACAATGGGGAAGTCCAAATGAAAGATACTGAAGTCCCCCTTCCTCCATAAAGGTTTAAATACATTATGATACTCACCAAGTCAAGTCACCAGCAATGTTTCAAGCAATTGCAAAGGAGGTCTAAGAGGTCTAAGTCTCAGTATGAGATTATATGTATTAAACCTTCACAACATTCAAGCAAATTTGCCCAGTGTTATTGCAAATACTACAAACAATTATACAGTACTGAGCTCACCATGAGACACAACAGTGCAGTGGCATTCTAAATTCAAACATCCTGTCCTTTTATGGCCTAAGAATCAGGAAAGGGATACTGTTCCAAATTAAGAATCATGAGGAAACAAGGAAGAAACATTCACAACAACATACCTTTCAATCAAGGAAAAGGCTATGCTCGATCTGAAAAAAATCACTTTCATTCCAAGATAGCAAAATAAATTGCTTTCTCTATTAGCCATTAATCTTGCTGTGAATTCAAATTTCTAATTATGCAGCTAAACATTAAGAAATTTAATTACAGGGCATGCCATAATTTAAGACAACCACTTAATTCTGACAAATTATGACCTACCTCATACTTCAACTTGCGCTGAATGGTGCCATTATTAAGCCTCTCATTATCCTAAGAACAAAAAAAAAAGGTACAGGTGATTATTAAATAAAGCATCTTTCTTGTGTAAGTTCATTCTAAGTACTTGTAAGACGACATTTTTTAAACAGCCCAAAATTAATGTTTTCTTATTTATATTTATTAAACCACTGACACAGAAAGTCAACCAAATCGTTCCTCAGATGAATCAGATAACAATTTTTAAATGAGCATTTGTTTGCAAGTACAAACAGTTCCTGATCTTCCAGAAGAAACTTCATCAATGTATTTCAAAGGCATAATATGAAAATTTTGATTCAATTCTATCTGCAATCTTCTTATGGCCATTTACACAATCTTCCTTGCAAAAAACTGAAATAAAACAAAATGCAGCCACAAGAAAACAAAAGCAGCAACATCTAAAACGAATAGCCCTGATTTATTTATATATCAATGGTATATTAGAGTTAATGCAGGAAAACATGAAAATTATTGAACAAAAATAATTACTTTGTGTGTGCACATGCTGCACTGAAGGTCAGGATTTCTTACCCTTCTTTGCTCACCTTTAAACTTTCTGTAGACCAGAACAGGCTACCATCATTATCCTCCGCTTTATGATGGATCTTTTGGAGCCTTCTCTGCACTTCTTGTTCAATAAAGGCATTTATCCTGCGAGATACAAGAAAAGAAAATTAGCATATTCTTAGACAAAACCTGAGACAGGCCAGAAGGCACTCTGAAACACTTACGAAGCCTACTGCACAACTCTAAACTGGCAGGCTTAATGTTAGACAAGCTTTATCTCTCCTTAACCAACATAGATTTTTTGAGCAAGTGTTCATTTAATAGGCAATGGTTTACAGTTTTAACAATTTGTTATCACAACTACACAATTCAACGGACCACAGGTTATGTCACCACTTTGCATCTGTCTTTACACACAAGTGGTAATGAGGATAAGGGAGATGAAGAAACAGAGGCTGAGGTTGTATCTTTATCACTCAATGGTTTGCTTTTATAGGTAACTCATGCTATGAAACGTGCGTGGTCTTTGAAGAGAAAGAACATTCCAAGAGGTGGTATTAATGGCTGTAAGTATAAGAATAAAAAGAACATAGAAAGGAAGGAACAGATTTTAAAATAGTAATAGAGGGCAACTGTCCTGTTAAGAAGGCTTAATGTAATTTCACTTGTTTTGTTACTTTTAGTGCATATAAAGCAATATCATACAGGCAATAACTGTACATGCAAAACCAATTTAAGTTTAGAGTTTCACAAGCCTGCATTCAAAAAATAAATGGCACAAGAGCAACAGATAAGCCTGTTGGTTATTTAAAGCACAGCAATTTTTTTTCCAGATTCTTCTTTAAGTACAGTTACAGTATTTAATTACAGTCCAATGCTGCCAGGGCAATCTTTCAAAGAATTTATTTTCCACTCCATTCATATCAAAACACTGCAGAAATCCAGTTTACCCACCTGTCATCAACCAGTGGAGCAAGGGGTGGCTGAGGCTTTGTTGGGCTTGATGGGGAATTGCTGTGGGACAGTCTCTCCTCTAATGTTCCATGATTTCCTTTCTGACCAGCATCACCCTCATATATTTTTTGCTTCAGCTGCTGAATTTCCTGGTCCAGGCTACAAAGAAAATTTAAAATGTAATTTGTGTTGTCTGTTTTAAGGTGTCATTGCTGCCCACAGTTCTTGTAATTACACTGCAATCCATGTATGTAAGATCTTAGTTATAAATATTTATGAAGATATGAGCATACTAATTGTTCTTTAGGCAAATTTAGATAGAAAAGTAGGGTTGGCTCAGTAACAAATTACCACAGCAAAGCTAAACTAAATAAAACAACATCAAAATCTTTCAGTGGTATCTACCTCAGTGCATTAAATATTAATTCAGGAAGACTAAACCTATCTATTAGGGTAATTTGAATAAGCTTTCCCTCATTACAGAACTTTATTGAAGACCTTATTTATTCACCTTCTAGTGTGAAGTAAATGAATACATGGGGAAATGAGCTGAGGTATCTCAAAATATAGCAATAATCCCAAAAACAGAGGCAACCTAAAACAGTAATGAGGCAGGACACATTTCCTGAGAAAATCTTAATAACTGGATGTTATATACATAAATCTTACTATTTTTTCATTTATTCCTCCTGTCTGCAATACATATACAGTTGAAAATTTACAAAATAAAGTATAGTATTAATTTCAAATCATTTATAAATCATCTTTTGAAACCGGAAAACACCTCCTTTCTCAAACCATAGAATAAATATCGTATCAGCCAGATTTATGCACAGAATAGAATATATAAAATCAGATACAGTAGTTTAGACTGAAAATGCCTGAGGCATCCAGTATAAAATAAGAAGCACTTCTTGCAATATTTATCACTTAGTCAAACTATTTTAACAAAGTAATCTGCAGAACACAGTTTACACTTAAAACGTAGCCAACATTAGATTAGTAACAGTAATAAACTTCCCCATTGCCATTACAACTTTTGTCTCTAAAGCTAATTGTTTTTCTCAGGTTTACTCAAAATTACAGAGTAAAAGAAAAGTTCTTGCAAAAGGAAGGGGAACAATCCAAAGCAAGGATTCTAGCACCTCAACTGCAGTTGCGTGCATCCAGATTGAAGTATAATGCTACAACTATTTTATCTCTTCCTGAAGGTTAGTACAGAAAACTGAAGAGAGCACAAATGCTGAGGGGCTTAGGCAGGAGTAAAGCAGGCTGAATTGTTACTTCATTTTTTGAGTACTTTCCACAGCACAGCCAGAAACCATCTGTTTCTTATGATTAGCAGCAAAACAATCTTGCATCCTGCAGGAAAGTGGATGGGAGATGGCTGATGGATACGGGGGAATGTTTGCATCTATGGAAAATCAATTTAACCACAAAAATCAGAATTATACTAAGGGAACATATCTTATCCCCCAATTTGTGAACATCTTCCTATCAAAAGATATAATTTCCTATAGCTATAAGCTTATCCAGCTGTGTGATGCATCTGCCAATGATCTGCTCCTTGCCCCTTCTGAGTGATGCATCCCACTGCCTCAGAGGTGACTCTTCAGTTATATAATAATGCTCATTCTATTGCTCTAAATCCCTGCCAATAAAGACAAAGCTTGCACAAGTTATTCCAGCACAAATTAACTTCTAATTATCATTTGAGGGGTTAACCCTGTAGGTGAGTGAGATTCTAAGCTAACATTTTTCAAACTAGAAATTTCATCCAGTTAGGATGGACCTCAAATGAACACCGGATTTACACATTTTTAGATAGTTAGCACTATCTCTTTTTCCATCATCACAAAATGCCTCCTGGATTAAAATAAGAAATGCACGCAATTTAAGTGCCCAGGACATCCCAATTTACACTGTGCAGTGTAAACTCAAACATTCGTGCATTAGGTTTATGTAAGTAGGTTGAAATATTTAACATATTACGATTCTCTCTTAACATTTTCTTTTGCCACGTCATTCACAAGAATCCACTTCTCCCTGTGAGCACATAAATGACATTCTGCACTAAGTTATTCAGGGCCCTGGGGCACTCACTGAAGGACTACAAAGTTGTATTTAGTTTGTGCAAGAGGATTTTAAAGTAAACAAGGGAAAAAAATAAATCTTTTTACTTCTAAGGAATCCCTTTCCAGCTTCATTCTTCTAGCCGACAATATATTTTTTTTCCACTTACCACACAACCCAGCAATCCCTTGAGGGCTAACTAAGAAGCCACCTATTTTTCTGGAACCTCCAGATGCTTATAGATGGCTTTATTCAAGTGAGATCTCAGTGCAGAAAGCTAGATTACACGTTCTTCAAGACAATTACAAAACATAAAGGCAAACATCTATGACAGAATGATAACTCAGTATTGAAAACGTCTAACTAAAAGCCACACAATGTAGCTTTAAATGTTGAAAAAGTGGTCTCTATGCAGGGTGTAGAAAGGAACTATTATCTCCTGATAACAGTTTAAAAGAAATGAGATACAGAAGAGCTTGTGGATTTGGCTACAGATAGGTATTTTTTTCAGTGATTTTTCTCATTCAGCATCTGCTTTAAAGTGCTTCCAAAAGAAGAATCCCATAATCACTATAAAATTTAAAAATCAAACCGCAAATTCTACCTCATGAAAAACAAAATCATTTTTTTCCACCAGTAATGACAGGTTTTCAAGCTGCAGTATTAGCAAACAGACAACATGTTTTTAAATGCTCATTTTGCCTTTTTCCAGACTGCATGGATTGAGTCCACCAATCCCAGTGGATTTTTTCTTTGGCCAAAAATTAAATAAAAAATTCTTCCTTTCCTTCTCCAAAGGAAGAACCCTCCTTACCTGAACCACCTTCCTCTGAGCCTTCTACACTTGGCATGAATGCTACAGTACAGCTCCAAATATCACGTGTACGTGGAAGTGTACAGAAGGGTGCAGACAATGCTTCTGTACCTAAAAGGGTTTGTCATCACATAAGGCTGGATGCAAGCATCTGAATTTTACACTGATATATGGCAGTCTACTTTATTTAGTCCTAAAGCCAGTAACAAAAAATTAAACATCCCACTGGTTTACTTGATTACCTGGAAAGCAATATGCAACCTCAGTTGTGAGCAAACTACTTAAAATTAGAAGCTCAGACAGTGGGACACACAACAAACTGCCCCCTCAAAATCCAAGGCTTAAAATGATTCACTTTCTGTGAATTACAGGCTCTAAATATTGATGCTATCCTAACACTTACCGCTCCCGGTCTTGTTCAAGGGCTTTTTGCTCAGCTTCCAGACTCGCCTGCAGGCCAGCCTGCTCACTGCAGCTGTTGTTCAATGTGGCGAGCTTCTGCTTCTGCTCTTCAATTTCAAAGTCTATTGTAGAACGACGTTGCAAAGCAGAGTGCCTTCTTTCTAACTTAGCTACAGCTTGTTCCAATGCCTCTCTTTGCTGTTTTTCCCTTGATTCAAGGATTTCTTTCTCCTTCTTCCGAACTTTTTCTTCCTGCCGAGCTACATTGGCTGTGAATTCAAACGTTTCTTGAAGCTGCTGCAACTGATTTGTGCTTGCTCTATATTGTGCAAGCTGCTCTTCTTTATCTTCTATTTCTTTCTCTATTTGATACAGGGTATTATCTAATCCTAACAAGCCTCTATCAAGGACTTCAGAGGCTCTTTGCTTTTCTTCCAGCAGAGCTGGCAAATGATTGCTCTTCAGGTACTCAAGCTGGCGTACTTTAGATTGAAGCCTGTATTCTGCTGGCTTTATCACATCAAATTCTTCAGCCTTGAGTATAGCATCCCCAAAGTTTTCATCATCCTTCTTGAAATTTACATGTTCTTCTTCAGCAAGTTTTAAATGTTCCAGAGTTTCTTTTTCATGTGCTATTTCCTTCTCTAGGTGATTCATTTGTTGAACTAAATCTTTTTCCAGTATAGTCAATTGTTCTAGCTGTTTCTTTTTAAACTCTATAAAGCTATGCTGGGCTTTTTCTAACTCTTCACAGTTTTCTTCACCTTCAGATCGGGCTTCTTTGACTTTCAAAAGAGATTCCCTGATATCTTCAAGATCTCTCTTCTCTTCTTCAACTCTTTGTACGTCGCCTCTCTTGAGGAGCTGTATCATGACCTGCTTCTCTCGAAGCTGTTCCTCTAGATGAGCCACAAGCATCATCTGCTCCCTTTCTTGTTCTTCGATTCTCTTTTTTTCTGATTCCAGCTTCATATATTGTTCGTCCTTTTCCTTTTTAAGTTTTTCTAGTTCTCGGAATATCTGCATTTTCTCTGCTTTTTCTTTATGATTAAGTTCCTGTAGGCGCTGCAATTCCTCTTTGACACGGGCAAAAATTTCCTCCTGCTGCTTCTTCTTTTGAAGTTCTATCTCCTGTTGTTCCCTCAGTCTCTCTTCTTCGAATTTCTCTTTTTCAGCCAGCAAATCCTTCAACCTGCTCTCAATGTGAACACTTCTGCGCTTCAGACTCTCTTCCTGTTTTCGAATTTGCAGCTGTACTATTTCTGTTTCCTTGCGCTGTGACTCTACTTCTTGTTGCATTCTTACAAGCTCTGCTTTGTCAGATCTTTGTTTTTCCTCCATCTCTTCTATCTGTTTCCTACAAGAAAACATTTACATGAAACATATCTATATCTACCTTTTTTTGTTTTTACTAGGGTGGATAAGGATAGGTCAAGGGGGAATGGTTTTAAACTGAGACAGGGGAAGTTTAGGTTAGATATTAGGAGGAAGTTTTGCACACAGAGGGTGGTGACACATTGAAACAGGTTGCCCAAGGAGGTTGTGGATGCCCCATCCTTGGAGGCATTCAAGGCCAGGCTGGATGTGGCTCTGGGCAGCCTGGTCTGCTGGTTGGTGACCCTGCACATAGCAGGGGATTGGAACTGGATGAGCATTGTGGGCCTTTTCAACCCAGGCCGTTCTGTGTTTCTATGACAACAAAACCCTACGAAGTTAAAAAGGTTTAGGGATTTTAGAATATATATCACTTTTTTTTTCTTCTTTTTAAATAATTTTGTTTTGCTATGGGTTAAAATCTTATACTCCTTGGAAATGAATGAATCCTTGAGACAAATAGTACAGATTTCAACATGCAAAGCAATAGATACATGAAACCACAAGAAAACACGTTAGATAGAATTTATGTGGAATACTATTAGACTGTTAGCTCTATCCTAGCCAACAAAAACATTGATGAAATACAGTGACAGTGAAGAGGAAGCATATATATTTACACACTTATTTTCATACAGACAAAATTTAACCAAAGGACTTTATTTGAAATTTGCGTCACCAAAATTGATTCAGTAGGTGAACAGAAACCATGCCTTCTCTTTTAGTGAACCCAACGGAATGATTGATAAACAGAAATATAAGCTAAGGAACAGATGCAGTTGAGATAACTTTAAGATAAATCACGTCCCATGCAATAACTCATTTAAAGTTTCTAGCGAGTTCCAAGTAAGATTTGAAGAACTGAGACTTAAGAAATTAAAGCACATGCATAAACTGAACTCAAGGTCTATCAACATAACTAAGAGGATAAGTAACAGTGATTCTACATCTCCTAATTGTTCCGAGATTGGGTTTGAGGCTTTTTGGTGTTGACGTTTGTTTTGGTTTTTAGCTTACCTTATTCCAACTATCTAAACAGCTCTTTCAAAACCGAGCAAACAATTTAGAAATGTCTTTCAGCTTTTGAGTCTAATCAGTGCTGTGATCTCCAACAAGATGAAATCTATTACTTTTAAAATCCTAACAGGTATGATGAATCAGATCAACCAGGTCACTTCTGCAGTTGACAGTACTTCCTTTTGTGTTTTAAACCGTGCTCTGATAAGTATTATTAATATGCACATATCATTACTACAGCTGCATAGTATTTACTTTGCTAAAGATCACAGCTATAATGAAGCTTGTCTATCTGGTTATTATCTGGTTATTAATCAGTGAGAATCTACAGTACTCCAGGGAAATAACTAAAGTTTTATAAAGGGGAAAAAACAACCAACAAGACACAAACATTTGTAACAGCATCCTCTACTTACCAACACTGTGATTCAAAACTGATGATTTAAATGAGTCCATGATGTACGTGTGCATACATATATACAAACACATATACACAAAGACCAGAGAATGATGTTACCTTTTGCTTTCTAATTTTTCAAGTTCCTCTCGTTGTTGTCTTTCAAATTCCAGTCTGATTTAAAAAAAATACGTATATATTAGAAAAAGAATATACAGTGCATTTCACAGTGTCTGCTTAAAAGATTATAACAATGATGTGAATGAAAAAAGTTTTATGAACTACTTTCTACAATAAAAGAAAATATTTCCTTCATTAGAGTTACAAATTAGATATCATGCTGTCAGACACTTGAGAACAAACAGAAAAATGAATTCCTAAGAGAAAAGAAAAAATCTATTTAAAAAGTAAAGATAAAAAAACATAAATGATTAGGATAGCTTCTGTAAGTTAACTACATGCGGACATGGCAATCAATAGATAGGAATTGAATTTCTCTACCTTAAACAGATCGGTCCTTTTACAGGGAAAAGACTGCCATGGGAAGTAGGGGGAAACAGAGCAATCAATTAAGAGAGGAATTGATAGGAAAAAAAACACAATAGCAGTATAGAATATTTTAACATCGCCAACGGTTTGTTTTATTAGAGGTTAAATAGGTTAGATCCATGGTACAGTCAATTACATTACAATTCAAAGTGAAATTTACATAGTGATTCTTTCTGAACATGTTTTACAAGTGCCAATGGCTGTTAATCGATGCTGATAATCCTATGGTTTATTAGCTTGGCCTGCTTTGAGAAGTGAAAGAGCACTGAAATGGTGCTACTGCATGCTCGTAGTTCTGCCTCTTCCTCCCAACAGAAACAACACATCACTGTGATGCCATCAGTGAGGCTAAAAAAGCACAATCCTGCAAAGTGAAACACTCCAGCACAGAATACAACACAAACTTCTTTATCACAAATATTTTGAGATTTTAATGTGCTTAGTTTGATACGGTTCTGTGTAATTATGAGGAAGTATTTTCTGTCACTTTTAATATCGGCTGTTATTACAGTTGTACAGAAGTCTCCCTCTTATTTTAATTTCCTCCAACAGATTTATATTCTTTAAGGCAGTCTTCCAAAATAAATATTTTCTGTGCTTTTTTAAAGCGTGAAGAGCCTAAATGTGAGCTGAAATATTCAACTAAACACACAAATCTCCAGTTATTTCAGACCTGTTACAGCTTTAGCAGTTTGCAGGAGAGATGGCTCATTAACACTGAAAAAAATGCAAGACTGCACCATGGGCTAACTTGAATTATTTTGGAACTGCAATTTAAGACATCATGACTGCAATTAAATAGGCAGGTGTTTTAAAACATGGTATATTTAATATTTCTTTCCAAAGTCATGAAATTACCTGTGGCAAAAAGGAACTGCCCTTGGAAGCATGCAAAAAATACACTGCTAATGGAATGTTTATAAAACAATTCAAGTAAACCATGACTCCACAATGCCCAAAAAGCATCATTCTGACCATTGGATTAGTGAAGAAATATCAGTTTTGAAAACACCACATTCCCCCATTTCTCACAAACTTGTATTAAAAACACCTTCTGCAATGCCTAAGAGACTAGCAAATATAGATTTCTATATGCAGCTGCAGACATTCAGAGCTTTCTAATCAATGTTTCACCAAGAGCTCTCTTTCACCTTTACACTAAGAGTACATCTGGGATGGACACTTGTAGGCACTATCTTAATGACAGAGCACAAGAAGAGATGATAACTGAAGTATTTTTAAATCCATCACAATTCCTGTAGCAGCAATGCAAAATCTACAAAGTTATGTGAAAAAAAGGCAGCACAAGAAGCAATCCTAACAGATCTTCAGAAGACAAAATCCATTGGTTAATAAACTTTTTTTTCTTTTTTCTTTTCTTTCTTTTTTTTTTTTTTTTTTTGATGTGACATTTGAAAATCCCTCTGTTTTGCTACAGTCTGCCCCTAGAATTCATAGCTGCTAGCTCTCACTTCTTAGCCAGGGCTTGGCCACATTCATCATTATCTCAGTCCAAAATAATACAGATCCTAGGGATCTGGAGTTCAGAAATACAGATGCCCATTAAGCACTGTCAGATGCAAGCCATGTTTGCTAAGATAGTCAGCAAAGATGATTTACAAGTATGCCTGTGCTTAGTTACGCCACAGAGAAATAAAACATTTCTGATCTGCTAACATAATGCACAAAACCCAAAGCAAAATCTCTTGATGTTGTGACAGCCTTGTAAAACAGAAGATTTGGCAAACATTTTATATAGACATAAAAAAATGGTAAGTGGCTTTTCATTGAGATCTGATAGAAGGAAAACAACATAAAAACAAGTCCGTGGTGAAAACTCTATGATTTTCTCTTTGATGAAGCATCTCTACCACCTTTGGTAGTGGCAATCAGCTCTACTTTACACTGAAGCAAAGCTCCAGCAGCAGAAAGGGCTCTTCAGGAAAGACAGGAATGAACTATGCAAAAGCAGTTGATTCTCCCGAGTAAATGGCTGCTTCCCAAAGATAAATACAGATCACCATCAACATCCCAACCAACAGCTTCCAAACACCACATAGACTTGTTCTAAAAATGTACATTTAATGCATTTTGGAAAGGTAAGGTACAGTCCTATGAACAGAAGGCCTAATGCAGCCCTGTGTATTGCCACTGCGTAGATGCACTGACATCCAAAGAGGCTGGAGCTCCACTGAAGGTTCTGCTCCCATGTGGATATTCAGTGTCTCTGCTCTCCATCCCTGGTGCTCACACTGCAGCCTTTATTTCTACAAGGGTAAAAATAACACATCTTCCTCATCTGGATGCTCATTTTCTCCACACATTTAGGAATTCATTACTTTTGATACCACTACCTCTGCAGCATTTGCTTCAAACTGGTTATGAGCTCAGAGTTATTTGGGGACAAGAGAGGATCTGGGGAAGCAGCACAAGCAGTGACTGCAGGAACCTTTCCTCTTAAAGAAGTCACTAAAATAAAGTCTCAGCATCACCAAAAACAGCACTGGCTGTAAGAAATCACTGCCAATTTGACAAAGTACAGATGCAAGACGGATGTTCTATGGTTTAGTCTATCCTTAATAAAATAGTTTGTCTCATGATCTCTATTCTCTTTATTAATGTGAGCACTACTGTGAATAGAAAAAAAGTATTAGCTTGAAATTTAAAAAAAAAATACAGATATTAAAGACTAGAATCTACTCTTTCTTCTTTTGTAGATCTACCATAAAAGAACTTAATCAGATCAGTGTAGAATTAAATAGTCACCATTTTCCTGGAAAACATGCTATATCTAGAGATAAGAACAGTACAGATAAGCTGCAGAGAAAAGGAAATCAGTTGGACTGGTTCAATGCCACAATAGCCTAATTTACACAGCACAAAAGTGTGATCTGGTACTACATCTATTAGGAAAGACTCAATACTAGCAAGACTACAAAGATGCTACAATGCTGTTCAGTAGCCCAATGCATGAGATTAATTAAAAAAGAAAACCAACACGCTGAAGACAAATCAAGGTTTCTCATGAGTGGTTTCACAGTTACAGTATAATATAGTTTACAAAAGGCCCATAAATGAAATCTTCAACACACATCTATGAGAAAAACTGTTTTACCCAAAGCTTATTACCTTAAGCAGTGTTGCATGACACTGGATTAGAGAAAAAGATTGGGAATGAGCAGAACAAAGGATTTTGTACAGTAAGACAACATTTACAGGAAATCAACAACCAACCCAACAAAAAAAACCCCACACAACAGAAGCCACACACACAGACCAGCCACCTGAAACTATACTTAAGGTAACTGATTTTCATATGGGGAACACACAAATAAAATGAGCAAAAATCTACGTGTTATCATCTTTAAAGAAAACAAAATTTCAGTACACAAAAGAAGTTGGGAATAACCATATGGAGCTGAAAGTGGAATGAAGACACAATGAACTCAAGTGGCATTGAGCAGATGTGCTAAGGTAGTGCAGAGATCTTGTTATATGTGATGTCCCAGTGACCACCAATAAATGTTTAGGGACCGAAAAACAACATTTAAAAATCAACTGCTAATTTGGACATTGTTCTTAGCCTATGGAGCTAATTTGGTGATATGGGTTTTCTTTCCAAAGAAAAAAAAAGGTGTGGTTTTAGTTGCATTTACTTGCAAGAACTTGAAGTCTGTTCAAAAGCTGAATCTTCTTCAAAGGAGCATAAGCTGTCCCTATTCTCTCATTTTCTTCATTTTAGAAATAACAAGCACAATGTACTCTGAAAACAGGGCTGAGAAACTAGCTAATGCCACGTGCTGTAAGAGGTATTGCCAATCATTAGAAGTTTCTTTGGTTTTGTTTGCTTTTATTGTTCTTTTAAGTACACAGTACTTAAATTTTAAATCAGGTGCTATCACTTTCTCTCAGGCTCTGAAATAAGTCCAGATCACATACAGCTTCAAAGGAAACAATCTCTTAATGACACATCCAGAAATCCAAAAACTTCAACCAGCTACATAAGGAGACCTCATAGCCACAGACACTCAAACACACACAAAGCAGCTGTCATTTATGTTATTTGTTCTCATCACAACTGGAAGGAGTAGCCCACAGGCTCTTCCACCACTAACTGGTATGGATTCTGGACACCACAAAATGTTTATTGCAACCTCCAGAAATTGCTAATTTAGCTACCAGCCTTTAGGTTATCAGAACTGAAACTGGAGGGAAGAAAGGCTGGAAGTACCAAATTTATGACAGGCACAATGCTGGCCACCTACAGACATCCCACAAACAAAGAAAAGAACATCACAATTGGCTTTACTACTGAGCCTATATCAGTCCACTGTCGTAATGGCCCATGTCCTATATTGCAAGCTGACTCTTAATGGATATTGAACCACTTGCTTTGTATATTACTGAGCCCTAAAAGCTTGGGAACTGCTTTATTCAAAGCATGTTTTCTAACTTGCAATTACCTCAGCCACCTGTTTCCCTTACAGTGATACTTTCTGTGGAATTACACCTATTTGGACAAGCTCAACACATCATCAGGAAAAAAACAAAACAAAAAAACAGTACTGTCACAATTGAGGAAAAGGAAAGAAAACAGTTTTAGCATCAACATAAATAAACTTAAAATTGCCATGAAGCCTAAGCTGAAAAGCTGCTATTGCCAAACTGCTGTCCAGAAAGCTGCATTGATTATAGAACAGGCTTTCTTCTACTAATTTACAAGACCAAGGCTCAGTCAAACAGCAGTGCAGGCTTCAGATCTACCTACTTGTTGTAGCAGTCATAAAAGCAGTAAAACCAGCCATATTTGAGATATTTTTTCTTTAGTCACTGATCTATTAGAATGAGAACCACCTCTGTCACGCATGGGCAAAGTGTATTATTAGGTATGGCATATGTTGTTTTAAACATTGTTAAAGTACCTAAATGTAGGGATAAGAGTCTAAATAATGAACTGACAACTACTATGAGCTTCTTCACTCCAAAAAACAAATGTACTTAGCAGTACCTGAAACACGTAGGTATTATTGATTAAAATCAAGTGACAGACATGCATTGCTCCCGTAATGTGAGCTTTAAGCAAAATGCTTGCTTGCATTTACAAATCAAGTAAGACAAAATACTGAAAGGCAGTTCAGAAAGATTAATTGACTGCAGAATAGCAGGACAGTATTATTAACCCTGTGCTCATAGCTTACAGTCCATTGAAGCACAGGCACGAAAGAGTTCAAGAATATGAAGAGAATTTTCACCTAATCTTATTTTCTATTTCAACAGTATCTGCTCTCTGTTATCATGCCCCCAAAAAATGAGGAACATACAAGTTACAAGACATAATAAATGGAGAGAGTTTCTAAAAATTGTTGAATACGCTGGTAATTATATTAGTCATACTGTATGAGTTCCAGAAAATAAGGCAAGCTACTGGAAAATATGATGAGGAAAAAAAGAAATGATATCCTACAAAATGTTGGAAGAAAAGAATTTATAAAGAATTTGTGAGAGCTGCTCCATCCTAGGTCAAGTAACTTTTTTTTAATTTACTTCTACAAAAGGATCGTGGAGAAAATCCTCTCTGCAGGACAGGATGTAGCAGCACGAACTCGCTGGTAAGAGAAATTCATTCTGATCCCAACCTTCAAATGGGCCAAGTCAATGTTGTTATATTTTGCTGTAAATCTGAAAGGCTAGAAGTGAAGCAATTCTGAAACAATCTGTCCTAATTTATGCTCTCTGCAAAGTCAAGGCCAGCACTGTGCAGTAGAATGCAATTATTCCTAATAATATATGAGAAATTACACAGGGAAAAGCTTGTGGCACCCCAGTGTAGATCAATACCCTGAGTAACAAAGAAATAGGAAATTTCCACAGCCTCAGGAAATACAATGCTAACAGTTGTCATTAGAAGCTTTGATCTAACCATTTGAAAAGGTTAAGAAAATAGGAAAAAAATGATACAAATATATTCACACTTTTTTTTTTTTTTTTAACCTTCTCTTTCTTCTCTGTCTCAAAAACAAAACAAAACAACAAAAAAAAACTATTTATGAACAACTAGCTCCCTTCCTTGTGTTCTTTGTGGGTAGTTTAGCAGCAAAAGAACAATAATTACAGCATTTGATGCAGTGTTATTATACGTAGTCTCTTGTAGGTAGTTAGCAAAGGAGCAACAATCACATTTAAAGCAATGTTGTTGGATACACTCAGTATTAAAGAGACTGTTTAATTTCAGTTATTATTATGTCTGATCTTCCTACGTTCTAACAGATACAGAACAACCCCACAGTAAAACTTAGGAATAAATCTGCTCTACCCAAGCCTGTAATTCAATTTACTGACAATTTTTCAGAAGCACATGGGTGGTTAAAGAGTATCATCTCATTCTCAATGTAAAACACAGGCACTAGCTGCTGGGAAAAAAAAAGAAAATAGAACAAAATGCCATCATTCTCCATAAATCACTTAAAGAACACTGGAAAAGACATTAAAATCAGCTTCTCCGCAACAAACATTCTATTTCTTTCTAACTGTATAATAAAATGGTTTTCCATATCCTAACTTGGCCACCTACTAAGATGTACATAGTGTACATAGTGAGAACTTACAGACATCTATTTCAAAGCTTTTTTTTTTTTTTTTTAATGTCTTCATTGGGTTTATACAAACTTGAGAAATCTTAAATTTTCTGTTTGCAATGCATTTGTCTAATGAAAAATAGTTAGCTTGTAATTCTGAAGAAAGGATAAATGTAAAATTTGGTATATCATTACTGTGCTGAACAGCCCTGGTTATATAATGCCAAATCTTTCCTCTGGAACTCCAAGTACAACAACTTTCTTTGTTCCAGATCTGTTAGCAAGGCTGTTTGCTGGTGCAGTTACAATTCTTACATTTCAATAGTGAGATCCCAGCTTAAAGCAAGTTTTAAGCAGGATGGAAAGCTCCTTGGTGTCCTCTCACGCCATTTTCTAGAACAAATGTGAAGTTTTAGCTCAAATAACACTTTGCAAAAGTTCTCACCTCATTCAGAAGCCCATTATTTAGTACATATACACTGTTAAATTGAGAACAAAATGGTTTCTAACGCTGCCGTTTGGAACATTCAAACAACTAAAATGAAGAACAATTGCAATTTTTACTACAGCATTTTTGAATATACTCACCCAGGATTATAAAGCATAACAGCTGATAGGTTCTCACAAGATTTTGAAAGATCTGTCATAGACAAACTGAAGGAAGACAGCAGTCCACTCTAACAACAGACCATAAAATGTATGTGTTAGACAAAAACTGACGCGCTTGTTTCACTTCATGAAATATTCTATGTGAAGCAAAACTAAAATTCTACAGTGATCAATGTGTGCCTGCATTAGCAAGAAAGTTGTGAAGGGATTTAAGTTCCCCCAGATGCTGATTTAATTTTACCTTTCTTTTTTCCCTTAGTTTAGCAGCTTCTTTGGGATGGTTAAAGCGAAACATATTGGTTCTTCCAAGTAATATCACAGCACCTGATGAGAAAAACACATACCATGTACTGTCAACAGAATGTACCAGGAAATGCCAAATGATTTTTCAGTCATTCAATATGTAAGCAAAGCTTCCCATTAAATCAGGACAAAATGAAAATGCATTTTGACAATCCAAGTGTATAACAACATTTAGTCACAGTTTTGTTAACAGATGTGCATATTTTATTCCTCCTTCTTCCTACTTAAAAGAACATGTTCACTCACACAAAAGGTCAACTATACTCATGCAGTTTAGGTTAATGATAGGAAGAGGAAGCAATCATAGCAACTGACCCAATCTGACCTACACGCTCTACAACAGTACTACTTTGGAAACTACTAGCAGGTATCAAACAACATGGGAACATCCATAAATATGACTAAGAACAAACTAATCATCATTCATCCACGACTGATCAAAGTAAAATTTCATTTCGCCTCTACTTTTCCTTCATTTGTAGTCCCATTAACCTTTTTCTTCTTTATGTAGAAGAATGCTGAAGTTTGTCATCACTCAGAACAAGATTATTAGTCCTTTATACTCAGTAGTTATTTTCTCAGGGAAGAACCTTGAATAATTCATACTGTTCACTTCCTATCCATTATGGTATTTAATCAGTTATGGTACAGATCCACATATAATGTGATTCTGGGCAATTCTTATAACATTATAAGGATGATGATGCCTAGATTAATACCTTCCTACTAAAAAGTAGCTGTCTGCGATGTTTCACTACTCTTGTAACAATGAAGCCTTCCAACTTAATCACAACAAAATCAAGCATTTATCTGTCAGGGTGAGTTACTTTTAGAAGAAAAAGGATTCTATTACACTTACAACCCCCAAAAAATGCACTTACAACCTCCTCATACAAATTGTTATCATGTGAGAATGAAATGCTGTCCTTAATAAGGAGCGGTCCTCATAAATTAGCTCAGTTCTGAACATTGACCCCAATAAGGTCATTTGGCCTTGATAAATCAATGACAAAAGGCACTACAATCACAGTATCACTTCTTGATGTCTGCACAACAGATCAGATCTTGGACCAAACAGTTTACCTTGTCAAATCTTAAGAAGAGTAGCGTTTCACTGATCTGTATGCAGATTGTATTGCAAAGGCATTTTGATACCACCTTTGTGATTTATGTGACACAACCTGTTGACCTTCCCTCCATGAAGTGTGCCAGGCACATTTATTTTTTAATGTAAGCATATTAGAAGGGTGCTAGTCTTCACATGCTGGCAAAAAAGACAAAACACCTCTCTATCCTATTCTTGCTATGTGCTGGGAAGGCTGTTTGATGACTTTAGCAGAGGAGAGGGCGAGGATTTCAGTAAAATTACCTTGGTTACTTTCAGATGAAGATTCATATAATTGTAAATATTGTTGATTACACTACTAGATAGAAGGTAGGTACTTAAATAAATGAATACAGATATGGATTCATGTTCCTAACTTCATGCATCTAAAAAATATAGGAGAAAGGCTTAAAAACAGCACACGATACTCAAAACCAGATGGCAGATCATATGAACAACAACTGTGTTTCTCTTCCAGTACTTCTCCAAATCATATGATCATAAGCCTAGCAGGGGAGGACCTGGCTTCAGTTTGAATAGGGGGAAAGAGATGTGTGCATGTCACTTATGGAAGTATTTAAATTCACAGAATGCTTTGGGTTGGAAGGGACCTTAAAGATCCTGTAGTTCCACCCACCTGTGCCATGAGTAGGGTTGCCAACCACTAGACCTCTTTGCTCAATTTAGTACACCTGGATGGTGAAAGAGCAGATTACATGGGGAAATGCAATTCTTCCACTTCTCCTATTACATGCCTCCTTTTTATCCTAGGATGTCATAGGCATTATTATATCATCACACCACTTTTTGCATTATGGGACCTCTGCATGCTTGTTATTCTACTATTAAGGAATAACTACAGTCTTAACTTCCATTTGACAGAAGTGAGATATGCAACATGAAAACCTAGTAAAGAAAAAAAAGTTTTGATCAAAGCCACTCTGTCAAATAACTCCTAAGCATCAGGTTAGATTATCTGTTATTATACAATGCAGTTCCCCATCAGAATGCAAATGCACAGTGTTAATGTCGTCATGGAAACATAACTGGATTTGCTATGCTGTTTGCTTTTTATTTGTTTACCCTAAGCAACAATTCTTATTCTCCTTGAAAGTTAAATGGCAAAGAACAAAAGGTTTCACAAATACACTGACAGTATGAAGAACAGCAACAAGAACCATGCAGAACCAGCCTATCATTTATGGATACCTTTGATCTGGTAACTTAATGGGTGAACTCCAACACAGAAATGACCAGAGAGCATAGGAAATAAATATGAAGAATGTATATTCAAATATTGTCTACACACAGCAATATTTCAGAAATGCACAAACAAAAGTATCTATAATTAAGATCTGCCTAACTTCTAAATTACTTTTGTTTTGTTTTTAAAACTACTTCTATTAACAAACTATGAAAAGAAACAAACATTGAGAGATTATGTTAACTATAGAAAGGTTGGCAGCTTAGCTTAAAAATGGAAAATGCAGTTTAAACTGAGGACAACTTTAAGGTAAAGGACAAGCTCCAGTGAATATTTGTTCAATTACTTTTAGAAATTCTACCAGATGCTCTTAATAAAGTAAAAATAGTGTAATGAGCTGCATTTACACAGAGGCCACGTTAGCTAGAATTCACGAATGCAGGAATTAATCTGAAGAAGGAAGTGGTAATTAACTACTATGCCTCTTTTTTATTATTATTATTAATAACTGTTCATTTGAAAATGTGTCGAATTTTTAGATTATCATAAACGGAAACACTTAAATATATCAGCAGATAATCAGCAATACCCAAATCAGATCCTTAAAGAGGTTGGCACTGCATGCTGTGAGACTAAATGCTAACACAGCTAGGATACACGCACTGTGCACAAGTTGTTAAATCAGTTGATTTATCAGCTTTGCTAGCCCGATGTCATAGCTGTAACCCTTCCTTCAAACTCAATCTGGTTACACGGTTCACAGGTCAGCCTAGGCAGCTGTTTTGCACAATTTAGTAATTCAAAGCAACCCTTTCCTCTGCCCCCTTTTTCTGAGTTGCAAATTTGTTTAGACAGAAAGTCAGAAGGCAAAACAACAACAACAAAGCACACTTTCACCCTTTATAGTCCAAATTTCAAGTTGATACATCATCTAGAACAGAGAAATAGAATCCAAACTTCAACTTCCTTCTGAGGCCAATCAAATCTGTACTGCCTTTGAAAGGCAGCAGGCTAAAGAAAAGATGAGGCATTGCAACTGCAATTCTCATTAAGTGTTTCTTGCCAGTGTTTCTAATAAGATATAAATAGCATTTACTCAATTTCAAGACAAAAGGGGTTGGGCTTTCTTTCTGACTGCAGAACTCTCATTCTGCATGAATAGATACTTGACAGAATCATCAACATCCCCTCCTCACACCAAAACTCCTTGCTTTCTGTAAGCAGAATTTTGAAGCACTTGCGTTCAGAAAGACCAAGACTTCTCTCACACAGTGCTGTTCTGTCCACTGTGTTCCTCATTTTTTAGCATAAGTTTATTCTGAAAGCTAATTTCTGTGAATGTCAAATGGCACTGCTTTTCAGCAGCTGGGCTGCAACAAAACCTCACTGCTCAATGGGTCTGCAGATCTTAGCTAAGTGAGAAGGTATTCCTGGTTCTCCTGGAAGATAAAACATCAGAACCTCAGCTGCAGTGCTCCTCAGCTTATTTGATGCTGTTTCTTTCCATGCCAACAAAATACATCTTTGGTCCCAGTTGTCCGAGAAGCTTTTTCCATTTCTAGATTTTAAAGCTTTAATATTAAACTTACAATTCCCTGAATGTCACCTGTAAGGGTTACTCTCCCCCTGTTTGTTATTTCCCTTCAGCTGCAGTTAACAGATACTCCAGCTAAACCTCCTGTTGTGCAAGAGGATTTGGCAGCAGTGTGTTAAGTGGAGCTGGCCTGGACCTCTGAGGAGCTGGAAAAATATGTCTCTAGTGCTACTGGTTTCCACATGACTAAAATATTCTTTCTCTTAATATCACAGCAATCAAAGCAACCTGCCATGGAGTTCACTTTCCACATAAGGTTTGAATGAAATCAAATGGTAAGTATCAGTTCACACTGAAGATCAAGAAGTGACTTAAATTAGTAAAGAGTTCTCTTTACAGCACATAGCAGTTTTGTGACAGAACAAGAAATCCATGGCTCACCTGATCACCTTGGGCTGCAGATGAGAAGAAACTGAATTAAAATTAAATGAATTAAAACTGTAATCCCTCTGTATACACGTAGATTTTTCAGTGGTCTTGCCAGAAAGAAACAAAGACACTATCAAAAATTACACAGTGCTGGTTAATACCTTGGTTTAGGTGCGTGGCCTCAGTAATCTGAATTCCATTCACAGAACACTGTGCTCCATTCAGTGGTATTAGATTCACAGTACCATTAAGATTTTCAAAGATGCAATGCTCACTTTCCAAATCCAGACCATGAAGAACTAAACATACAAAAATAAAATAATTAGTCTTTTAACAGCTAATAAGATTTGCATGCTGATATTGATTCATTAAGGACATATTGAGTTACATATTTCCAAATGTCTTTTCTCATTTTTTTCTGGGCAATATTTGCTCTTTCATTTATCACTTCCCACATTCCTTAAACACTGTCCCCATTTTTTTTTTTTTTGTTTTATTGCAATAGAAGTGCTTTTTTTCTGATTTATTTTACATAATGGTCTCTTCACATATGTTTTGGCACCAGATTAATAAGTGCTCATTCTTTTCTGATAAAGAAAACAGGAAAGGAAAGTTTATGTATTTGTAGAGACAGACTTTTTTGCTTAATTTCACTGAGATGAACTCACTGAGAGCAGCCCTGTACAGAAGCACCTGGGAGTCCTGATGGAAGAAAAGCTGTACGTGAACCAGCAGCATGCACTTGCAGCCCAAGTAGCCAACAGTATCCTGGGCTGCACCAGCAGAGGGATGGCAGCAGGGAGAGGATTGTCCCCATCTACTCTGCTTTTGAGCTCCCATCTGCAGTATTGTGTCCAGGCCTGGGGCCCCCAGCACAAGAAGGATGTGAAGCTGTTGGAGTGAGTTCAGAGGAGGATGACAAAGATGCTCAGGGAGCTGCAGCACCTCTCCTATGTAGAAAGGTTGAGAGATGTGGATTTGTCTAGCTTAGAGAAGAGAAGGCTTTGGGGAGACCTCACTGTGGCCTTCTAATACTTAAAGGGAACTTACAAGCAGGAAGGGGACTAAATTTTCACTTGACTAACAGTGATAGGACAAGGGGGAATGGCTTAAAACTAAAAGAGGAGAGGCTGAAGTTAGATGTTAGAAGGAAATCTAAACTCAGAGAGTTGCAAGGCAGTTGAACAGATTGCCCAGAGAGCTGGGGGTGCTCCATCCCCAGAGGTGCCCAAGGCTAGGTGCCCAAGGATGGGGCCCTGGGCAGCTTCAGCTGCTGGAGGGCAGCCAGCCCACAGCAACGGGTTGGAACTGGATGAACTTTAAGATCCCTTCCAACCTAAGTCATTCTATGATTCTATAGTAACATGCAATTCCAGACTGAAAGGCTGAAAAAAGGTTATATTTCTATTATGTTCAGGCACTTATCAATCAGTTAGGCTACTTTCTGTGCATTATGTATGATTATCTCTACCCATATTGCTTAACATTGCATGGTATTTATATAAAAATCTTAATCCACACATCTTTTAACCACAGGATATATACAAAATAACATATCTGACTTCTCAGCTTTTCATTTGAGAATTTAAGGATGCAGTTTATTTCATGAAACTGCCTCTAAGCAACATATGTGACAGGGCAGTTCAGCAATGGCAATTAATTGTCTTTTAAAAAAGTAAGAAATACAGTACAAGAAGCCTACCTACTTTTCACTTAACTTCCAGAATTTTCTTCCACCCAAATCTAAAGACCTGACTGCTTTAGGTATAACAATATAAAAATATTCTCATTATACAAAGGTTAAGAGAATGATTGTGCAGCAGTTGTGACAGGTGCTGTATGAAAAAGGATAATATTTTTTACAGAAGGCTATTTCAAGAGTAGAAAGAAATAAGAAACAAGTATGTGAATATGAATAGATTTGAATCCCACAAGCTATTTTGTAAGTCATGTTCCTTGAAGCATATCCCACGTAATACAGCCTTAAAAATTTCCTAAAAATTACAATATGCGAGAACATATGAACAACTAACTGAAAAAAGAAAGGAAAATTATAAAGCTCTGTTAATAGACTGGGATGTTAGAAAGAATGGAAAAAAGCAATGCAAAATTTCATACCAATATCCTGTTCCGTCATAGCATCTTCTCTGCCAACATATGTTTGACCCTCCTAATTAAGAGAAAAACATACACATTTTCAGTTGAAATCTCCCTTTCTCTCATAGAAAGAAATGGTTTATCTTTCACAGGCTATTATGGCCCAGTATATGTTCCAACATACTACATTGTTTCCCTTGTATTTTAAGAAACACTTTCACAGTTGTTATTAGATGATATATTAGCAAATTCAACCATCATGCATAGGACCATCATTTTAGTTTTGAGACAATCTAGATCTGGATTTCAAGTCAAGCTTCACAATGAAATTAATGGGAAGAAAAACCATACATAGGTAGATATAGTAAGTACCTATCTCTTAACCGGTTAACCTTCAGGATAGACCTAAATTATAGGAGAGAAATGTAAGGAGCTTTTCCCACCATAGTGGAGACATGTAATGAGCACTTGTATGAGCACTATATTTAGCAAATTAATACTACAATTTGTCTACAGAAAAAAATCACACAGTATACAAAGGTTATGGAAGCAAAGATATTTATTTACCTTCAAGTGATACAAGATGATGCCAGTACTAAGGAGATCATCATCAATGCCAATTAAATGAGGCAGTTCAGAATCTAACACAACACCTATCCCTTCTTTCCTCAGAGCCAACGTTTGTTCCTGTAAAGGACAAAAGTATAGTTATTAAGATATGCAGGAAATACTCTTCTTTCTCTTTTTAAACTATGTTTAAAGTAACTCATTCTCTGTGATACCACAAAAAATTGGCAGGGATTTTTTCCCCTAACATTTCAAATGCAACTTTTATATTTCCAGTGAGTGTTCCAAGCTCACCGTTCAGGAAATCTGTGAAGGTGTTATTTGAAAGAGGCCAGACAAACAGCTGAATTATACCAGATAAGGGAGATCAATCAAGAGAATAACAAAGCAGTGTTGTATAAAAGCAAGCTCTGTATCACCATACATGATAGTAAGAAGAATTTAAAACTACATAAAATTCAGTATGGCTAAAGAATAGGAGACTGAAAACTTTTTTTGGCAGTCCTATAAAAAAAATGAATCTTATGCAATTAAAAACCCAGACACCTGAAAGCCCAGTAAGCTTAAGCAGGTAGAACATCATCCAAAGTAAAGGAAGCACTGGCATAGCAAAGAAATGCAGGAAATATTTGCTGCACATAATTTTAACTGTTTGAATTTCCTTTGGGCCACACTCTGCAGCACCTGTGGAAGAAAGCATCATTCAGCAGGAGTATAAGTGGAAGGCTTTAACACTGGAAGAAACACAGAATCATTTGGGTTAGAAAAGACCTTGAAGTTTATTAAATCCAACCACCTAACACTACCAAGGCTACCAAAAACCACATCCCTAAGTTCCACTCCCACATGTACCAAACACTTCCACGGACGGCGAGCCCACCAATTCCCTAGGCAGCTGTTTCCAATGCTTCACCAACCTTTGTGTGAAAAAATTCTTCCTAAGATCTAATCTAAGATCTTGACACAACATATGCCTATCACCTGTCACCTGACAAAGGAGACTGACACACACCTTCCTACCACCTTTCAGGCAGTTGTAGAGTGCAATGAAGCCTCCCCTCACTCTTCCCCAGACCAAACAATCCCAGTTCCCTCAGCCAGTCTTGTTTTCTAGTCCCTTCATGAGCTTTATTGCTCTTCTTTAAATGCATTCAGGCAACTCAATAGCCTTCTTGCAGCGAGGGGCCCAAAAATGAATGCCAGCACCAAGTACAGAGGGATAATCACCTCCCGCTCCTGCTGGCTGGCTGCACTAGTGTGACACAAGCCAGCATGCCATTGGCCTTCTTGGCCACCTGTGCACACTGCTGGCTCGTATTCAGCTGGCTGTGGACTAAGATCCCCAGGGCCTTTTCTGCAGGGCAGAAATCCTTCCAAATCCTTCTCTCCGGCACTCTCATAAGATCTCTAGGCAATGATTTCTGTGCCTCCAGCTTTGTTCAGATCCCCATGCAGAGTTATCCAGGACCTATATACCCTGAGGTATCCAAGGCACTGCTAACAGACCTCACATTTTGCAGCAGGCCATTCAACCACGACACTTTTGGCAGTGTGGAGGGAGTTTTCTTACTCTGAGGAGAATTTCCATCCAGGCCTTACAATGACTTGCTTCAGAAGCCCCAAGTCCATGCAGAGCTGTAAAGGTGCTGCCCTTTGAGCCTTCCTACAGCAAAGCCTGGCACCATTCAGGCTATGTGAAGACAGCCAGCCAGCCAGCAGCAGAGCCACCCATTGGCTTTTGGGCAGCAAAGGCTCCTACATGTCCTCAGCACTTTGCCACCATCCCCACAGAGCAGGAGGGGCTGGATAGAGGCAGCAGGTCCCTGTGGCAAGGCTGCAGCTGCAGCTCCTGGCCAGGGTAGGGTGCCTTTCCTTGGCTCACCGTGCCCCAGCCACCTCCCAGCAGAAGGCCAGCTGCAGCCATGCACCCACAGCTGATCTGAGGCTTGTTGAGGACGGATGAGAGCCTGGGAGAGAATGCAACTAGGACAACTGGGCCAAACTGACCAAAGGGATCTTCCACACCACGTCCTGCTCAGCAATAAAAACTGAAGGGAGGAGTGTGGATTGAGTTTGCCAGGGCTGCTCTTGTTCAGGGTCTGGCTGGACACCAGTTGGCTGGTGGGTACTGAAAATATCACATGTGTATACAGGTATACACAATATATAAGAGATTAACTATAGCTTTAGTATTCCTAAAGTTTACTTTGCAAATCGAACTCAAATCCCATTGGCTTCCTACACCTGGAAGGTAACAGCAGCAGACTACGAACACGCACACACTGCTTCTCGAAATGAACCAGTTTTTCTACCTAAAGAACTAAGCCGTTATAAGCCAAGGAAGAGTGACAACTTGGGAAGGAGAGACGGCATCAGCTTCTGTGTATTACGAAGCACACACTTTTCTCCTGGTGCCAGCAAATACAGAAAACAAGCTTTCTGACAACAGCATGAATACTTCTCCAAGTTATCTTCACTCTTCAGAGCCAACCGAGACATTACAGCAATCTATCTGCTTTCTCTTACAAATGCTATGTGTATTTTCCCACGTACAACAACTTGACAAATCTAAGAGAGAAGATCTACTACTTCATTTTTCTTCTGCACGGTATAAAACATCGTCAATATCAACACTGCCTAAAATGTTCTCCAGTGACTGTGCAAAAATGGGCAAAATGAGATGCTGACAAGACAAAAAGACTCCAAAACAAAACCAGGAAATCCCAGATTGGTCATGGGTGCACTAAAAAGTTCTCCAGCCTTCAGCAAGAAGGGAAAAAAACCTGTGATTAATGTTGCCCTGCAGCTCTCTGACATTCAAACCGCATCCAGCTATTCCTTGATATTATAAAAGTGTCACCTCATAAAACCAAAAAATACAGTTTAAATCACTGTTCAAGTGAAAAAGTAATTTCAGTCAAAATATCTATCTCATATTAAATATTTATTGAGTGGCACCTACTGTTACACATAATTCATAACCTTCCTAATATGACAAGACTGAAGACTTAGGACAGTGAATATAGGCGGCTGCTCACAAAACTGCTGGAACCTCTGGCCCAATGCAACTGATAGAACATTAAGAGCAGAACATTTTTTCCAGCATAAACAAAGCATTTGCTAACATTCCTTACTGAGGAGAAAAAAGGCATCCCAAGACATAACGAAATTTTTGCTGGGAGAGAAAAATCTGCTGCAAATAACTAAGATGAAAGTAAAAGAAAAAAGCTTCAATTTTCAGTCTTTCATATTTAACACATTTACTGCATACTAAAAAAATAAAGTGCACAGAATTGTGATTTAAAATTGACACGTTATTTATTCATATCTAAAATTAAAGAACACACAAATTGAGTTTCTAAAACCTTACTTTGTATAAAACTACTATTCACAAATAGAACGCACTCTTGTAAGGGAAGTATTAAAATAAATGCAGCAGACTGTAGTGAGATTAAGTAGTGAGATTAAGATATCGATTAGATGTTAGGAAGAAATGCTTCACTCACAGGTTGGTGAGGCCCTGGCACTGCTGCCCAGAGCTGTGGGTACCCCATCCCTGGAGGTGCCCAAGGCCAGGTTGGATGGGCCCTGGGCAGCCTGAGCTGGTGGGGGGCAGCCAGCCCATGGCAGGGGTTGGGCTGGGGGGGGGCTTTGAGGTCCCTTCCAACCCAAGCCATTCTATTATTCTATTATTAGGGTTTTTTTTACTAAAAATCTGGATGTTTAACTGGGGCTACTGCTAAACTTTTAATCGTTTGGCTGAAAATCTAATTCCAAATTCAAAAGAAAACATTGAACTGTGCACTTTTGTCCTAAACCAAAAGCCACAAACACTTTCAACAGTATGTGTTACTCTGTTCTCCCACACTGAAAGAAAGATAAGAAAATGGACAGAAAGAAGCAGCAAGATTGTCCCTCTTTCACCCCTGATGGCATAGGAAGAAAACTTCTAAAGGAGGAAGGAAGGAAGGACCTTTTTTGAAATAAATTGAAGGACTGTATGCTATTCTAAGTCAGAGAAATTACTAAGTATGTTCCACAACTTGATTCACTTTCATTTGTGCAACACCATTTTAGAAAGCTGTGAATCCATAAGCCACAATGCCAAGAGCAGGAAAGGCGTCGTCCCCATTAAAAAAATACTAATGCAGAAAATGAATGAAAGCCTCAAGGCAGAATTTAAAATACTTGCATGCACTGCATGCATCTTATCTTGGATTATCCTTGAACAAAAAAAGTGCACATGTACTCCCTCTGTATTTAAGATGCGCTCATAAACTGTGGAAAGTAAAGCAAGTCAAGTATTACACACAAAGGAGCACTCCAGTGAATATAAATGCCTGCACTGTGCAGAGAAAAAAAGTTTTCTTCCTTTAAAACCTCTAGATTAAATAGACTCATTTTGTTGAAATTCATTCATAAAATAATTCTGAGTCAGTACATAAGGAAACACCTTCTTGAGTCACAGCAAAGATAAGAGGATTAAATTGTTTGCATAAATGACAGGCTCTTGGAATTCTGCTGCCAGAAACATCCTGATGGGCTAAACTCATGAGCACTTCTCGGGCACATCCAGGAGCTACCACGGAATCCCTTCTGTGCTGCTGCAGCATGTGTGCTGAATTAACTGCATTAAGGCATCTCCAGGCTTGCAGCTTAGAAACACGTTTGTGTAAAGTAGCTGTATGAGCCTGTAAGTTGAAAAATAGTGTTGTGTAGCTGAGAATTTGCTCTATCAAACGGTATTATTGTGCTCTTTCTATCAGTTGTGGTTTCATAGAATGGCCTGGGTTGAAAAGGACCACAATGACCATCTTGTTTCAAACCCCTGCTATGTGCAGGGTCGCCAACCACCAGACCAGGCTGCCCAGAGCCACAGCCAGCCTGGCCTTGAATGCCTCCAGGGATGGGGCATTATTTCCATGGAAATAAATAGGAGGCATTGCTTTTAGAGAAATCTTTGTACAGTTGCCCATGCTAAAGAACTGTGATGCACAGCATTTCTTTCAGTGCATTTAATACAGATAAATAATACGGACAAAGGCACACAAAAATATTAAAAAGCATACAGAATTAGCACAGTGCCCTTTTAATGAACGGAATTCCTTGGTGAAGTCTAA